ATGATTTTTATTACTAATATCATGTGTTTATTTTTAATTAAATGATTGATAAAATTAATATTATTTTTAATTTTTTTAATACAAATTAATTATAATAAAATATAATAAATATAACATTAACTTGTGTCATTATTTAATTACTAGCTCTTTCCTTTTTTAATATTTTTAATATTATATATATTAATTTATTTAATATTAACCTTAAATTTTAATTATATTTACCATTATTTATATTTTAAATTTTAAAATAAACAAAAATAATATTTTAAAACATAAAATTGATAGATTTGCGTGGCGTAACATATAATTGTGTTATTATGACCACAGCCCCTTTTAACTTTCACACCTCCCCGTGTCTGTGTTGTCTAGATTGATGTTTTCTTGTTTTTTGTTATCCAAAGAATTTTGAAAAAGAAAAAAGTTTTGTTCTCAGTCTTTGATTTCTTTTTTTTTTTTTTTTCAAAATAATATGTCATATAATATTAAATAGTAATGGTCTTGGGAATTGAATTCCCAATTACCCTTTGATGTATTTACTTGTCAAAAATGTTTATTTTTATAATTTTATCTCATTTGTGTTTTAAAAATATATTAATTATATTTTTTAATATTTAATTTATTAAAAATTTATAAAATTAATTTTATTTTTCATATTAATATAAGATTTTTTAATTAAATAATTAATAAAATTAAAATTATTTTTTAATGCAAAATAATTTTAAAAAAGTAAGCACATGCTAGAAATGTCCTATTTCTATTGAGAAGAATAAGAGCCTCAACTAGCTTTCCTTTTGCAATCAAGTTCATATCCTTAGTGTTTCCCTTTTGAAAATTTTTTATTTTATCAGTAATGTATCTACCATTTCTTGATTTTCAAATGAGTAACACTTTTACATTAGAATAACTCTTTTCTATCTTTTGATGCATAAATAGTTCTAGCTTCTAGTGGTCCACTTACGTTGATGTGATGAACCACATTTCATCACCAAGATACAATGTAGATATTATATTATCTGCTTTTCTGATATTTTCTTTTCAATGGGAGATTCTACATATCTCCTGCTATGCCTCATTGATTCTCAATGTCCTTTTAAAGTCTTAATTGAAAGGATGAATAATACCAATAACAATTAGTAATAGGAATCATAAGATAAAATTTACTAGTAAATAAATATTATCTTGTAGATTACGTTTAAAACTAAAGTTTTAAAGTCAACATTTAAGAAAATTAATTTCTTTCAATGCATTAAGTCAATATAAGAGTATCCCTTTAATATTCCCTTTAAGAAAAATAAATCTTAAAATATGTGAAAATTGATTTAAAAATAATTTAGCCATAAATAAAAATAATAATAATAGGAAGGGCTGTGGGCAGACACCCAGAATTAAGGGACACTGCTAATTAGGGAGAGGGGGTCCCTGACAAAGTGCCAAATCTCTATCTGTGTATCAAGAGTTACTTTCAAATCTGCATAGTAATATTCTGTGGGCATCTCTCATCCCTTTCACATTAATTCATATATACATCCTTTTTCCAATTGCATACAAGCATTAAATTTATAGCAGCTTGACACCTACCCTTGCCATAATACTTATGAAGCAATGTAGATACTAGATACAAACATTGCATTTGGGTGTTCTTCTTTTTTTTTTATTTTTTATAGAAGAAAATGATTAGATTAGGTGTTAATATTTGTTGCTCTGTAAGAGAGTCAAACCTTGGAGTTGAATACATTTCACCTATTATTCAATAGACAATATAATCACCACTGGACCACATGAGAGATGCCCATTTGGGTGTTCTTCAATGAAAAGTTTAGATTTTTTTGAATACCTTAAATTAATACACGGCAGCAACATTGGGCCTTTTTGGATTATGACCATACACACAAATTGACGCAGATATTTTATTTTAGATAGTGAACTTGTCTATAGATTCTTTGAGGAAGAAGAAAAAAAAAGAGAGAAAAAAAAAAAGGAGGAAAATTTTCCCAAGAAACAAACAAGGAATGAGGTTGTTGGAATACTTAACTAAACAGAAGGTTGAAGTAAAGACAAAGGAAGTTGGGTTCCACAGATACCAGGACCATTTTTATTTCTCTCTTACATGCAGCAGCAAGCAATCTAAGAGAACAGATACAGAGAGAGCTGTCATGTCTTTCTTTTCTTTTTCTTTCTTTTTTTTTTTTTTTATGTAACTATTAAGAACTAAATCTAAAATTTATGATTAAGCATACAAGCTGATGGTGTTTGCAATCTGTTTGAATTTACTTTGTAACTAATTAGCATTAATCGGAAATTAAAGAGAAAATTGTAGTATCAAATATTCTCAAAATCTCAAGACAAAAGTGATGCAATAAGTCCTTGTTTTGATTTGCAGCAGCAATTAATGGTCTGCTGTGCTATTTGGATTGGTTGTCGTTTTACGAGTTTTTGCATGCGTATTTTGGTAGGCTCATTGCCGATCTTCTCCAAATTTGCTTGTCTCCATCGTTACAGTTAGTTAAAAAGATAAGGAAAAAAAGAGAGTATTATGCAATTAAGATTTTATTAAATTATTGCCGTATAGGTATAATTTAAATTACTATATGAATGAGAGGTTATTTAATATTAGAGACTATATTTTTACATTCAATGGTTGTCCAAACTACAAAATTAATGATTAAAAAATATAGAGTAATAATATAGTGATTTATTTATTTATTTTTACATTTGTTATACAATAAGAAACAATCATTTTATATCCCTTATTTCACAATATTCGCGTGTTAGGCAACTTGAACTTATAACCTCTTATTTTCAGCGGAAGAAGATGATCACTGAACTACTTATTTCGTTGGCATAATTTAGTGATTTATGAATGGCAAAAAAATGTATGAAATGAAAAACCTAGTTTTTATTTTTTATTTTTTTTTATAAGAGTTGGAAAATTGGAGTTCAAACCATTATGGTCACCGTGACATATCTCACAACGTCTGCATGCTAGGTAACTTGAACTTAAAACTTTTTATTTTTAGTAAAAGGAGATGATCATTAAACTACTTAAGTTGTAGGTATAATTTAGTGATTTATGAATGGTAAAAAAATGTATGAAATGAAAAACTTTGTTTTTTTTTTTTTTTAAAGAGTTGGAAAATTGGATTTCAAACCATTATGGTCACCGTGACATTTGTTAAGGTTAGAAAAAATTGCCAAATTTTATTTTAATTTAGTGGTTAAAAATAATTAATAATTATAAAATAATTAATAATTAGCATTATTTAATTTAAAGCTTATTCAAAATTAATTGTCATTTTTTTAGGACAGATAAATGCTTTTTTATTTATTTTAACTATATCGTTATTTATTTATTTTGATTAATTATCTTATCACAAAAAATTTTATTTTATTTTTTAACTTTATAATATATATAAATTATTCATAAATTTTGAATTAAAAAAGTCAAAAATAATTATTATTTTAAAATAAAAAAACAGAAAAAAAACATTTATAAATAAATATTTTAAAATATTATATTACCATTTAAAAAAAAACCTATAAAATAATAAACTAACAATTAAATTAACGACCTTAACAAAAGCTTCGGTCGCAGAAACCTCAGCCCCATCTGTTGGTGATAGCTACTGAAATTTTGCCATAGCATAATCAATTGACGAACGGTTGATTAAACCGTCCAACTTCAGAAACAGAAAAGAAAAAATATATATATTTTTCTTTTCTTTTTTTTTTTTTTTTTGAGAGAAACCAGAATCCGTGACTTTAATGTCCTGGAGGGTTTAGCTGCCAGACAACCAAACACGTCGTAGGGTAGTGGTAATAGTACTGTAGCGCATGGGAGGGCAGGGTGCCCTAAAACCTAGATATATTGTACACAAAATACAGGAGTTGTCATGCTGTTTTGAGGTACTTATAAATTTGTATTTGTGGGGGATCTTCCTGCAAGACAGCCCATAGATCTTGTTGCCCCCACAAACCCTTGATGGGTCAGCACCAAATAGGCCCTTTTTGCCCTAATTGTTCGCTGGCACAATGCTGTTGTGCACTAGACCCTTTGCCTCAAAACACTCTCAACCTACTTTGGGGTTTTTGGAAATGCACCTTGGATGTGGGTTACAGCCTGAGATGAAAAACACCCAGGCCAAGTACCTGTAAAGGTTTGCAGGAGAAATGGAGGAAATGAATAGGCTTCCTAGGCAAATTCAGCTGTTGCCAGCACTAACTTTGAAAGCCAAATATACATAGACAGACAGGACAATCACATTCAGCAGGCGCAGTGCAAGCTAGCTACTACTTGCATAATCCAACAAAACCTCTCTCTTAATTCATTATTGCAGTACCTTGGAGGAAAGTCTGAGCGTGATTAATGCTACACTTGAGTCATGTATCGAGTGCATCTACTATTAATAACTTTAAATGATGCATTTGAGATTCAAGTAGCGTTTACAAACTAAATCTAAAGAGTTGTTAAACTAATGAAAGCTGGAGTATATGTCATGACAATGCAATGCGATGCAATTAATTAAAATCCTGAGATTTCGTTGTGGTGGAAAATAAACAGATTGACATGGAACCTAACTTAGTCATGATGGAAAATATGCTTTGAATTCTAGGAATTTGATTAGCATATGGGGCCACACTGTTCTTTTTTTCTTAAAAGAAAAAAGAAAAAAGAAAAGAAATCTAGAAAATCATTGAAGATTGAACACAATTGAAGAGATTACATATTGACAAGAGATTTATTTTCTTGTCTGCTGGGAAATGATTGTTAGTAGGAAACCACAACAGGATTCCTCCGGAAATCAGTATTCTGTTGAACTTGAAACCGAACCTCCAAGAATTTTAGCCTCTAACCAGATTATATTAAACTTCCTTTATCCCCCTTAGTCCAAACTGCAATCATGTTCTTGATAACAATTACCTGGGTTTTGCTTTTTGTTATTTAGTGTATTTCATCAAACACACATAGATAAAATGTCTGAACATTAGAGGATATACAATTCTAAATGAAAAAACTAGGATTTGAAGAAGAAACAGAAGGAAGCAATCAAATTCTCTTCCCCATTGATTAATGTCTCTGCTCAAAATCATGGTGTTTTTCATACTTATATATTTGATGTGTAGAAACGAATGATGAGTGATCGATGCAGATCATCAGCGAGGACCCTAGTGTAAAACCATTAAGTAGTCATGAAAAGATGAAAGACTATGTATCAAAAACTGGGCCTACCATCATTAGTGGATGAGAATTGGGAAAGAAGAAGAAAGAAACAGAAGGTGGTGCCCAACTTTATGTAACACCTCTACTTGTTCTACTCATCACCCACTCATGCAGCTGTATAGACCATCATTTCATACGCCTCAGTGCACACTAAGAATCTTTTCCCTTAAAGGGTCTTAATGATTCAGTGAAGAATATGATCATAAGTTTATCTTAAACAATTCAAATTACAGATCATAAAGACACTATAGATTCTTCACTACAAAATAAGAGTATCCAATGTGGAACTGTAATGCAACCAGAAGGCAACTTGCAGCTGATCATTTACAATTGACTAATTTGGGTTCTCCTACCCTCTTTTGAAAGTCGATACTCTCATTTTGTTTTCCTGTTGAATGAGAAAAAATGGACAAAAGGAATAAACACTGAAAAAAAAAAAAATGATCAAAGATGGTAACACATCTCAGAATGTAAACTTTTTCTGTATTGTACCGGCCTAGTATTGAAAATTAGGCCTTCTGGTTTAATTACAGGATTTCTATCTATTTAAAGTTAGACATGAGATTAAATCTACTAGAGCCAACTACAATTTGTCTTGTTTAAAGTTGGTGATGGTCGGCCATCTGTTGGTCGGAAAGTGAATTGGGTCATTCAATTCTTTTAATGGGGGAAAGGGCATTGCATTTTCATGTCCTGGATTTGATTTTTTATGAACAAAGAAACAGTACAAGAAAAAGTAGGAAATGACTTGAGGAAAATGAGCACTAGAACAAAGTCATATTATTAAATCTACTAAAGTTACATCAAGTTTTTGATAAGGATGTGGGAGGAAGTGGAACGTTCACTAGAGGAAACCAAAGGATTCTTGTCCTTAATAGATAACCAACATTGTTAACATAGATGCAAAAGCCTTACAGTTGCAGAATCAATTTCAGCTTGGAAAAAACAGCATCTCCAACTTGTATTGGCTCATTCTGGAGTGATTATGATCTCCTTCATAAGTCACAACTAATAAGGCTGGATCTTCCTGACACCGCTCCACGTGCTTTCTTGCAGGGCATCCCTTCATGCTACTGCATTTATAATAGCTCCTATGAAAACAAAAAAGATGTAAGTAATCTTTTAATTGTTTGAATGCTCCTAGAATCATGCAGACATTTGTATACCTAGGATATGGTGATCCTTTTATGGGCTTCTGCCCATATTTCCGCCACGAGTAGTCATCCAGAGGTAAATCAGCAAATTTATCACCTGTGGCAGGAACTCGAACAGTTTTCTTTAATCTCAATTTTCTGTAAAATACACAAAAAGAAAGATAGAAAGAAAAGAAAACCAAGGATAAAGCATATCTGGACACCTCATGAACATTACAGACAGAACCTCAACTTCTTCATAAAAAAGGGAAAAAGGAAAAAACCTAGTGTTTATGCCACATGAGAACTTGATGATACCTATGCTTTGAGCAGCGACATCCCCCAGTTGAGACTGAGCATATTCTAGTTGCTTGATTCTTGGAAGAGAACATATAGTTCTGACCTTGAGAAACCATTGATGATGGATGGTGAATTATCATTTTCTTGTCAGTGTTACTGAACAAAGACATGCTTGGGAACCCCGATGAAAATTGATGCATCTCCATGGTCAAATTAGTTGAAACTACTGAATTTCTGTGCACCAAACCATTACTTGAAACAGAACCGGAGCAATCCAAAAATTCAACAGGATTGATGTTGTGGGAATTTGGCAACGGACCTCTTTTGATCCTCTTACAATCTGACTGCATTGATCCATCAAGGAGGGTAAGTAGTTTTTTGAAATCATTGACTGCATCTTGAGCAATCAGACTCACTTCTAGATTACTTCTTTTCTTGCTTTGATCAGAAATGCAGCTGAACAGTTGATTAGCATGTCTGAAACTACTTTGAGCAACCTCATGAAGTTTTAGGTCCCATCTTGGAGTCATTGGAAAACCGAAACCTGAAGCTTCTCTCATGATTTTACAGATTACTAAACATACAGATTACAAAGAGTAATAAAGCCTTAAAGATGGCAAAAGCAAATAGACTTTTATGGTTTACAGTTCCTCCCTGATCTGTGGTTTTAGATAATGTTTGTTTGATAAAAACAATGTATTGGTTACCCAATTCATATCTCTTGAAGTACCCAACAGATCTAATAGAAGTCATTTTGCAGAGAGTCAACATCAGCTCTGACCCAAAATGAAAAAAACGTCAGCTTAGGTTTCAGAAGCCTCCACCTGCCAAATTCATAACTGAGAGTAATTTTTTTTTTTACTAAACCCCTCTATTCGAACATTATTTTAGATCTTTATTTATTTAAAGAGAATTAAATATTTTTATTTAAATAAATAAATTATTATTATTTTTTACATAATTAATACATTTTTTTAATTTATAATATTTATATATTATGTAATTTAAATTTTAAATATTTTATTTTAACTTAAATAATATTATCATTAAATTACTTAAATTATTTACATAATTAAAAATACTACTAGTTAATCAATCAATCCACTCTATTCCTTTATTGAAAATGATAAGCTAAAATATTAGAAAATTCTGCAGGACTTTGTAGAGATTGGAATAAACATAGAGAGAAGTAAAGAACAATGAAAAAAAAAAAAAAACAAATGATAATGCAAAGTAATCCCTTCCTTCCTTGTATTTATTTGTGTATATAAAGGTTGTGGGCGTGGGGTGAGTAAAAGCTGAAGATGACCCATCAATTCAAAGATATAAGATTTAGGTGAAGACTTTTTGGCTGCATGTGGCATCACTCAACAGTTGCTCATGGATCTAATCCACTAAACCAGTCAAACCAACACCATTTGCAGGCAGTCTCTCTCAGCAGTCACTGCAGGAATAAGACCCGTTGCATTTTATTTTTATTTTTAATCTTTCCGGGGCCCTCATTGAAGCATGCTTCTCGCTACAGTATGGTCTATAGTGGATTTGATCGGCTACTCCCATCCACTTTTTGCATTTGTTTATTTTCTGGTGATTGTCATGCTAAAGAAATCATCTAATGAAAACCAATTCTTCGATAAATCTACCAATATGCATGGTAGGGCAATAATAGATTTCTGGGATCATCTTCATCGGATTCCGGCGAGGATGATCCGGACATTGATGATTGGAAAATGCATATACGAAAAATTACAACTAACGGGCCATCGAAAGGGAAACTTGTTAGACTTCCAGGTACTGGGATAGTGGGATTACAATCGTTTCTATGATTCCATCTTCCCCTAGCATTTGAAAACTATTGTAAAATCTTTTTGAGCTGCCCTGTATTTGGAGTTTATAACATGACAGGTGAGTTTCATCACAAAGCTTCTTGTATCAAAGTTATAACTAATTGATTATAAATAGAATAATATTTTTTATAATTAACATGTATCTTTTTGTTATTTTTTCGATGTAAAATTTTCTCACTTAATAGCCATCACAAAAACCTAACCATATTAGACATTTGTCAAACTTTGAGAACATAAATAGAGATGAGAAAAACAGATAGAATCATCTCAAAATGTAAGGTAAATGTTTCTAAAATCAGTGAATATTTGTAGTTAAAAATGTACGGAATTGGAAACCAATTCTGGAGCTGCCATATCATCTAGACTTTCTTCTTCCACCGTAACTCACTTTCGATCTCCTGCTTCTTAGTGGTGCAGACCAAGTTTCTGCATTTGCCATATTTGATCTCATTTTCTTGTACTCTCTTGATCTTAGAACTGCCTCCAGGATATTTATGTCTTCACGAATTTCTTGTCGAGAAAGAGATGAAAGACCAGGAAGTATGTCCCGTTGAAAGTCCTTCAATCTCCGTCCTCTTCTCAACTTGAAACTATAATCTTTTCTCTCAGAATCGCTGACTTCAGAAGGCTTTGATGAAACAGAATAGTCATCCACACTGCTTTCAGTTAACTTCAGAGCAATTAGCTCATAAGAGTCAGAAGAACATTGTGGTTGCTCCTCATTCTCCATCTCATTGGACCCAGCCTTTGTTGAGAGATTTTGATTGCAAGCTGAATTCTCCATGGAGATTTGGATGAGCGATTGAGCTGCTTGTTCCATCAGAACATTCACTTCATGCAATTCTTCTTTCTTGTTGAAATCAGCTTTCAGTTCACTTCTTCCTGAAGATCTTTGGTCCTGCTCACCCATGATATTTTCTAGGGCTTCTGCTCCTACATTGGTTCCTGAAAACTGATCAGAAGCTGGATGGGTTGGATTCCCGGATGATTGCATAATCTTTCCACTGCTTGAATCATTATCAGCAATGCTGGAATGCTTATCAAAGGAATTGCTGCCACGTTCTTCAACTGTAACTTGGCTTTGATCAGAACATAAAAATACTGTATCATCTGCTTCTTCTGCCTTCTCATATGTTGAATGTCTTACGACCTTGCATGGGTGAGCCACCACAGGATCATTAGAGAAACAAGACGAGTCATCAAACTGAGCTTTGTTAAGGTCAATATGCCCAACTTCACATGAAATTTGAGGTTGCTTACTGGTGGACAGATTGTTGTGCATGCTACCATGGCAATCAATATGTCCTGTAAATCAGACCAATAACAAATGCTAAATTATGTAAGTGATATACAAAAAAATTGAAATAATCATAATTGCAACATCACTCTCACTCCTGTAAATATCCAATGAGTCTCACATGGTTTGATTATGAGTACCTTGTGTTGAAGACTTCAGCTCTTGACAGGATTTGCTTTCCTGCAAAAAATAGCTACTCTCAGCTACAGCATGAGAAGCATCTTTCTTCATGCCTCCAAAGATCAATGGGTCAGATGGGATAGTAACCTGTGAATCATGCTTTCCTCCAAAATTTGTAGGAACGGCAAGAACAAAAGGAAACCCACGTTTAGAATCCATAATTGATATCACGTCATCTGATTCTTCCAAATCAATGACAACTGGGGAGCAAGAACTGGTTTTCTGGTTAAGCGAATTTGTTCTGGTAATTTCCTCTCTCCTGTTATCCACTTCAAGATTCGGGGAAAGCCTCAACTCTGGTAAATCTGAACCATCGCCTAGATAAGGAGAGTTCAAATCTGGAATTTCTTTTAGGTGATTTGCAGTGTTTCCACTGTCAACATGGCTAACATACTGATCAGCTGAAAGTTGAAGATCAATAGGCCTTGGCTTAAATTCAGAGTAATTGCCTGCATACCCTTCAAGCAATTCCTGGCCTGCTGGCCTGAGAGGGCCAACCTGAAAGGCAATTAACATGACAATGGAACTTCAATTCATAATTAAAATGAAAATGAAAAAAAAAAAGAAAAAGGGTATAACTATTAAGCCTACTATCAAAAGAGAATAGTTAACACGCATCATATGTAACTGTTCATCCACTCTTCTAACAAGAAAAAATGAAGTTACAAGCGATGCACTCAAAAGCAGTAGAACTTTTATCATAGACATCTTATGGTGCTGATAGCTTTTGATTCCACAACAAAATCATACTTTCAGATAACATTTTTAATTCCCAGAAGTCTTTGATTTATTCCAAAATAAAATAAGAAAAAGAGTAAATGGATGCTTAATCAACTGAAAACCTTCCTGATTTCCATGTCACAGTTCAGTTTTATCATGTTGCTAAAGATGGTTTCTTCATTTACCAAGTTTATGGAATGTGAGGGAAATCCGGTCTCCCATGCCAGTGGTTGTGCAGTTGCTCTTGCACCATATGTTTCAAGCGTCTGGGGACCAATATCCTTCATTATGGTCTTCTGAATACCATACAACCTGTGGAGTTCATGGACCTGCAAAATCAATAGGAATAAAGATAAGCACTTAAATTGGTGGTAGACTAACAATCCCTTCATATACTTGAGTTTTGCATATAAAAGAAGCCATTTCAAGGTGCATTTTAAAAATTCTTAAGTTTGAGCTGCTAGAAAATTAGCAAGAATTCCAACTTTCTTTTTCCAAATAAAGCTAAGAGATCAGGAGCTTTGATCAACTCCAAGAGGGAAAAAATTTTACATGATATCAGAGCTTATGAACAAAGTCTAATGTTCTAAGCACCAAGATTTTCTCTTACCTGATTTCTAAATGCAATCTCCTGCTGGAGCATTGTCTGCTGGAAAATATCTTTAAGTGAATCAGTGTAAGGTTGCACTGGATTCTGATGAGAATCTCCTAGCATTAACATTTGTTCTTCATAATAATTGGAGGAATAAATACATTATGTCATATGAAATCCTGCATTCTTGAGAATATGAGAGTCTTGGAAGGATGTCTTGAAATGTACTTTATGCTCCTTTCTAGCAAAGCTTACCTGGAAGAATGCTTGTTACAAAAAGGTAATACAATCGACGGTTCTAATAGTTTGGACTTCATCAAAAGAAAACATCTAGATAAAACCCAGCATCATACATCAGATATGCATTAAAAAACACAATAAAACCCCACATCATATATCAGAAATGCATTCAAAAAAACACCCAATTCTTTCAAAATAAGAACATGTATATATTTTTTCTGGAACATTTAACTGGTACAACACCAACTGGATCATGGTATCTTTGCTACAATTTTAACTTTTTTGGCTTCATGTTATTTTCTTAAAAAAAAAAAAAAAATTACAGAGGGAGAAATTACATTTATCTGGCATCAAGACATTGAATCTGCAGAAACTTGTCCAAATTGGGAAGATTATTATATACAGAATCAATAGTTTCCTGCATAATACAGGACTAGACATAAACAAAAAGAAAACAAATAAACAAAGGATTGATCAAAAGAAAAGGAAGGGGAAAACAAACGTGGGTTATTTTTATTTATAACAACATTCATCAAAACAACCTCCAACTTGCAAATAACAAACAAAAAAAAAATAAAAGGACAAAAAAGAAAATAAAATATGAAATATACATCACAATCCCAAAAATGTAGAGAGAAAGAGAGAGTACCGGGAGTCAGAAAAACCACAAACCGAGCACTCCAACATGAGAAAAGATCTCCACTTTGTCCTCCTTGCTCCACAAAAGCCATTAACTTTGGAAAACAAATCACGTTAATGTGAAAAGATTGGAATGCAGAAGAAAATAATTCCACCCCCTGAAATCTGCAGAAAAAGAGAGAGAGAAAGAGGGAGGAGGAGGAGAGATTAAGCAGCAGCTGTTAAGACTTTAAGACTATAAACGAGGGAGAGGATACGTGCAGTCAGGAAAAGAGAGGGTATCAGATCACTGGCCACTTGGGTTAAAAAGAATGGACAGAGAAAGTGACACCACCCCCTTTCTTCCTCTCTCGTCTTTTGACTTTAACCACCAAATAATAATCGAGTGCTACATACATGAAGTGCTATTTGGTTCCAATCTATATTAAAATAATTTTAATTGAATAACCTCCATTTATATATATTATTATTTGTATAAAATTATTATTTATTATAAATAATTAAGATATTATGTTTTTTAAGATTAAAAAATAATTATTTTAAAAAAATGAGATAAATACTTAAAATTTTTATATAAGTAATGTGAGTAAAAATTATATATAAATAAATCATAATTTTTTTTTTAAATTTCTCCCTCATGACTTATCATACATAGGTAGTTGAGAATTTAAAGGTTGAGGCATTCCAAAATGAAAATTGAAATTTAACTTTTATGTAGGGTTTTTAAAGTTTTTTCTAGTTGTACAAGTAATTAGAAATGTTTTTTTGTTAAAATTACACAAAATTAATTATTAAAAAGCTTCTAACAAATCAAATAAAATTATAAATTTTAATAAACTAACATAAAATTAAAAAATCTTGATTAAATTAATATTTACTCATTCAAAATTTTTAATTTAAAATTAATATTAAAATTTTAAATTTTTATAAA